TTAAGGTTTTTGAAAATTCATAATTTTAGAGAGAAGAAATTCTAGAGAAATAAAAAGAGAGAATAAGAGAGGAGGTTCTGCTCTAATTCCGGTCCCGATTTAAGAAAAAGAGGAGGAGGTTCTGCCCAAGTTCCTATTCATCCAGGTACGGGGGAAAAGGGGATTATTTATATGTAGAGTACATGAGGGAATTGGGTAGAGGAATAATTTCTTAAGATCACGTTTAATTTATCTGAATGGAAGGCTGAGCCTCCTATTATTTTGTAATTTAAATGTTCTTGATAAAAGACTAAAATTTACATCTTTGTTATATTTTTTATGATTTGGAAAATATAAATGGATTCCTAACTAGGAGGCACTGCCACCTTTACTGGAGTTAATTTATATTTTCTTTATTATTATCTATATATATATGTATTCCTAGTTTTTCACTATATTGTAAGGGTAGTACTTATAAGACTTAATCTGGTATGTATGAGTTTGAATTATCACATTGATTCCATGTTCTATGTATGATTGAGGTTGGATTGAGGGGAAAAGGTTTTGGTTAGGGTTTTCATGATTTCTTCATGATTTCCATGGATTAATGGTTAAAACTTAATTTTATTGCTTAAAATGATGTTTTTTTTGTATCTACACGACTCACCTCAACAAGTTCCATGAACTCAAGTTCAACGTTGTGAATGTCACATTTCTTTCTCAACAAAGTTTTTCCTTCTTCAAAGTGACCATGCTTGATAAGATTGTTTGGGGTGTCTACCACCAAAAAACTCCGATCTCATTAAGCGTGTATTCGTATTAGTGTGAAGACGTAATTTTTCATATTTAACTAAAAGTAAAGAATAATAACTTCTCTTTAAATTCACAATTAGACGTGGAAAGAGAAGAAAAACTTGTGTTTAAAAATCAAAACTAAACACGCACTAAATTTAATCGCTTTAAATTAAAGCCCAATTTGTAATTAGGCCTACTAATGTGTATGACATAAGATTTACATAATCAACAAGTAAAAATGTAAATATTAAAATTACTATCTAAGTAAGTATATTTGATAAGTTCTTTTTCATCCCTTGCCCACTCAAACATTTTCATATAAACCCATATTTCACTCTTCTATATGGTGAGCTTTTGGTGTACATATTTTGGTATCATTTTTTTATTTTATTTTAATAACTACCTATCTACACTACAATTTATTTCCTAGTATCTTATTTATTTATTTATTTTATTTATGTTTTTTTTATCTTTTCTTGTTTTTGTTCTCTCTTGCTCTCATTTTTTTTTTATAATTATTGTATATGATTTACTTTTATAAATATATTATGATAATTATTCTAAATTTAGTATACTTTTGAAATTTCCTGAAACCAATTTCCATGAATTTACAATAAATATTTCTTGCTGAGATAAATTTTTTTCATTTAATTTTTCTTAGTTTTCAGATAAGTTTATAGAAAAAAAAGATTTAGAAAGAACCAAAGTTTTGAATATTCACTCTTGTTTAAGTGAACCAATTTATTTGTTTAGGCAAAATTGTTCCGGCCAAAGGGTGGACTAGGGTTTCTTCCTAGGTCAAGCTTCAAAGCCCGAACATTCAAAAGTGTAATCTATCGTCTTAACTCTAGGGTTTTAGTTTTATACTTTTCTATTCATGGGCCACTTGGGCCTTGTGAGTGCAAGGATTTCCATAACGGTTTTCCTTGGGAATATTTGATTATCAAAGATAGGCTTTTCATCCTTGATTCTCGGACTAGTCCAAAGGGTGAGACCCACTCGAACTTTGGACGAGCGCACCTTGGCCGATCTCACCATGGCCGAGTGCAGCCTCACATCAGCCGAGCACATCCTAGCCGATCTCACCATGACCGAGCACAACCTGACCGATCTCACCATGGCCGAGTGCAGCCTGGCTGATCTCACCATGGCCGAGTGCAGCCTGTTCGACCTCATCATGGCCGAGCACACCCTGGCCGATCTCACCATGGTCGAGCACAGCCTGGCCGATCTCACCATGGTCGAGCACAGCCTGACCAATCTCACATCAACCGAGCACATCTTGGCCAATCTCACCATGGTCGAGCACACCCTGGCCGACCAAAACATGATCAACAAAAGGTTGAGTTGGTTGGCTTCTCAGAAAGTGATTGGAGTGGTGATGCAGAAGACAGGAGAAGCACTGCAGGGTACTTGTTCAAGTTCCTTGGAGTACCTATCAGTTGGAGTTCAAAGAAGCAATCAATGGTAGCCCATCGGTCTTTTCATCAAGACAACTCCTGTAAGGGTGGTCGGGTTATATTCTAATCGGGCTCACCCGTATTACAAAATAGGATCGGTCCTTTACCGAGTGACCCCTCGTGGCAGGGTGACGTGGGTCGAAGCTTGATGATAGAAGTGAAGCAATGATTCTGGTAGGTTTCCATCACACAGGAACCTACAAGCTCTTTGATCCAAGAACTAGAAGGATTGCCATTAGCAGGGATGTTGTTTTTGATGAAGATGGCATATACAATTGGGAGCTGCTAGAGGAGAAAAATGTGAAGAATCAAGTTTTGCTTCCAATAGAAAACAACACTGAAAGTGAAACTGAGCAGAATTCTTATGAAGTTGAAAGAAGAACTGGAAGGCCTAAAAGAACTAAGAAGCAATCAACAAGGTTGGAGGAATATCATGTCTTTCCAGATAGTGCTATCACTAATGAAGGAGAACTGGTTGAAGAACAATTTCTGGAAGATCAACAGCAGCAGGAAGAACAAGTTCACTATGTTTTTCTTGCTGATGTTGAGCCTATAAGTTTTGAAGAAGCTCAAGAAGATCAGGTTTGGAGAGATGCAATGAAGGAAGAGTTAGCCTCAATTGAAAGAAATGAGACTTGGGAACCTGCATGGTTACCAAAGGGGAAG